CACACACACACACACACACACACACACACACACACACACACACACACACACACACTCACACACACACGCGCACACACACACACACACACACACACACACACACACACACACACACACACACACACACACACACACACACACACACACACACACACACACACACACACACACACACACACACACACAGGTAATATGTAGTGAAAAGTTTTTGATCGTCTTCAAGTATCTTAAAAAACAAAACACTACCGTATATTTCCTGACGATCTTACAAAATAATACAATCAAGCGCAATCATCATGCTAACATCTGGGATTTGTATTATTTCATATTTCACAAAGTTGCTGTCGATTGTTATGGCGTCATCACCATCGTCTGTTGCAATGTTTACATGTTTTCCTCTACCAGCATATAGACCTTTTTGACGTTTAATCGTCTTTCTCTATCTAGCACACATGTCACTAATCTGTTTCCCTCTTGCTCGCACTCGTTCGATTTAAATGGTGCAGTAGTGTGTGCCGATTAAACGTCAAAAAGCTCTATACGTGAGGGCAAGATCTCCAAGCATTGTATAGACCAGGTTGCTTCCCAATCGTAGACAAACTTTTCATGCTAGATTTACGCGCTGGGTTTAAGAACTTTGTTTTTAAATCTGGAAGTGTGTATGCCGGTGGTACATGCGAAGCTCTTGTATGTGAAAGTAACCTTGGAATGGGTGTAAATTATTAGACGTTCTAAAATAGGTTACTGGATCCGACCCCTTTCGAATCAGCCTGGCTGAAAGTAACCTAACCTACCCTTACTGGATCTGCAATAGAGCTAACACATTCTAACTCCTGCTTTTAATAATTTCCAACTTTGATATTGCAAACAGATTTCTTCCAAAATACTAAAGTCTGTGTATAACAAGTCACGCCAAAAGTGAAGCCAAGTCTACTTATTGAATTATCAAAAAGGCTACCTATCGTGCAAAATAAACAAACATTACGATACTGTGAAAGCTCCACGAAAAGTATTACAATAAAATATAAAATATAATCGAAAAAATGATCATAAACACACAATGAGCTTTAAATTGTCATAGGAAATGCTTGGTAATAATCAGTAATGAGAATTTGTAATGTTTGTTGTTATGATAATTTGACAAAATCACTGATATAATGATTTACTACAGCCCCACAAATTTGTTAAATTGGGATTTAGTACGGGAAAAGGATTTATCTGCTTGACAGGCCGTGATTAGCGGCTAGGTCTAGTTTACATCCCGGAACCCCATCATCACGAAATGATGAACAAATTATTAAAAATATTGGTGCTATACAAAACGAACACTTTACGTTAATATTTTTTACTCGTACGTACAAAAGACATAGGCAACTGCAAAGAATGTGCATCGAAAATTCGCGAAGTGCACATCCTCAATTTATTTGACAATTGACTTTCGTCCGTTTCAAATTTAGAAGTAGATAGGGTAGAGAGCTACTTCGTCGTAATCGCCCATTTGCGTTCTATCGATCAGAAAAGATCAATAATATCAATGATTTCATCGTGCACAAAGCAATATTAGGTTTGTTCCGATGCGTTAGTTCAATAGCTACAACATAAATCCTGTTAGATCGCATTATATGAATATTTACGCTCATTGTTCCCAAAACAAAAGAAGTGCGGTAGGACGGAATTGAAATTCGTAGCACGAATTTAGAATCAAGATTAGATTTTAAACAATATCTCAACAATTTGTGACTCTATCAAATCCAACCTAACGTATGAAAAGATGAATAAATTTAGAAGTCATCTTTGATAGAAATATTCCATTTTTTGTTCAGAAAAAAGGTAAAGCGCGGAAATTGGATCAAAAACCCTATGGTTTTGCGTTCACGGCATACGTAACGAAAAATTTTTTCTCTTAGAATATAGCTCTTATCCGTCATGATAAGAGGGGGCTGAATCTGACAGTATTTGTGAGAGTTTTTATTTTTATTTTCATCTTATCATTGTATGATATAATGTTTCAAGTTTGAAAAGCTTTAAAGTTCGATACAAATTGATCAATTTAAATAGTCAAGTTTTGAACGCACCCTAGCATGTTTTTGGTACTACTGTATATGGACGATCAAATGTAAAATACTGTGGTAGCCACAGCATAGTTCTGTCAAAACTTCAGCATTTTCATTGATACATTCAATACTAGTCAACGATTAATTTCTTGATGCATATTATTGAGGAGGATATTGAATTGATTAATGTCTCTAAGCCGGGGTCCTCTCCAAATTGGGGCCCTGCTTTAGCCCACCATCGCCTTACTGTTAATACAGAATCTTGGGTTTAAAAACTCTGAAAAATCTGTAGAAATACAGATTTATCTGTAGTTTTGGTAACCATGGCTACCAGCAGTCATGAAAATTTCGGTTCGTGTTCGGGTTTACAGCAAACATCTTAAAGCTCAAACTCACCACAGTTTGGTGAGAATTTTAGCTGCTGAGTTTTGTTTGCATTATATCAGAGCAACCGTATCACAGCTTGTAATATCATACGCTATACTTCAATGCACTACTGCGTCCATAGAGCTTGAAAAGGAACTATTTTGTTTATTATACTTTGACGAGTACTTTGTGAAAATTTCATCACAATTGATCAAGGTGTTTCACTTATAGACCATGGAACATGAAATAAGACTATTTTTTTTTAAATCCAGGCTTTCAACCCGGTTTTCAGCAATCACGCAGAGATTGTCAGTTTCTTATGGAATTTTTCGGTAGAGTGAAAATGGGTGATTACACATATAAATACTTAAACCAATTTCTGAACGATTGTAAGTTGTTTTATAAAAATCCGTTGAGAACACTAAAACAACATCAGGCACATAGGTAAGCAACAGTGCTACCTAAGCGGCAGAATACTTAACTAAAATAATGTCACCAAACCAAGGCTGAGTACTTAAGAATTAACTTTGCAAAAGACAATACGCGTCTATAATGGAACGGCGCGAATTAATTAATTTTTTGTTTCGAAATGGTATTTCTTTGACCGCTGTTACCTAGGGATGTTTAGCAAGTACAACACTTATCATTCATATACATGAAATGAAAAAATATAAAATAAACTTTTGATGTTATATTCAACTGAAACAAAATTTATATGTTACGCCGTTTTCAAAATTTACACCATTAAAATGACCGCCATAGTGGAACCAGGAACCGACACCAGCTACACTTCACATGTATTGAAGCGGCAAAAATGTTACGGGGCTGGTATCTCCATAACTCGACATTTCTACAAGTATATACCTCCTTTGGTTAGAGGGACCCCCTTCTGGGGCCCCATCCTCCTTCCCGGGACCTCCCTCGGAGATCCACAGAGACGAGCCAGCCAATGCACAATGGGGAAAAATGGGCGGAAAAATACATTTAATTGTGTGTCACTGAAATTCACTGGATCAAAATTTTAGTTCGTATCATTTCTGTAGATAAACAACTTGCGGAATTGAATGGAAATGGTTTTATCCTGGGGAGAATGAGTTTTTTTTGTATTTTCATCCTAAAAGAAATCCTTTGAGAATAAAACAGCAAAAAACTCAAACTTCCTGTTTCCTCTCCAGGATGAATCCATTTCCATTCGATTTCGCAAGTTGTTTACATACATAAATGGTATGAACCATATTTTTAAATTAGCGAGTTTCGGAAATGCAACAAAATAAAAAGTAGTTTTTCGTCCATTTTCCACATTGTGTAATGGCTGAAAGTCTCTTTAATAAAGTAACCTAAACTAACCATCCTTTGGTCGATGTTCTATAGTACTATTGCTATTTTGATTCTATAGGGTAAGTGTATCCGATTAGGCAAAAGTGCACCAAATTTTGGCCTTAGGGCCTAAACAAAATTTGAAATAAATTTACATGGTTTTATTTGCGTAGGCTTAAGGCAAAACATATCTGCCGTTATACGCATAACTGCCCCATGTTCTATGCAATATTTATACACCGTGGGACTCTTATGCGTATAACGGCAGATATGTTCTATGTGAAATTTATGATAGGGCCAATTAGAGCACCGCTAGGGCCAAAAACTGTACCACTTACCCTAGCTTGATATGTAAAAGGTAGAGCTTATGAATTCTTTGATTCTGATGTTACAGTCAAATAAAGTTTTAAAATTTAAATGAAAGGCAGTCATATTGAGTATCCAGGCCACATCCAATCATCTCCTCGGAGAAATTGCCCATACGAGAACCTATCATGAGACAAATCAAATCAGTTGCTCAGGGCGATAGTGATCAGCCAGCTCTATTTTATCAAGCATAAGAGATACAGATTTTAGTTATTAACAAAAGTTGTAGTTTATATCAAAAGCTACAAAAGTTTCATATATCATTTGATGGTATTCTGTTGATGAAAAAGTTAGAGGCAAATGAATGTAAATGAATGCACGAAATGAATGTAAATGATTTTCCATCCCTGCCACTCGAACTTTGCCGTGGAAGCATTTTTCACTATATATTTTTTTCTAGAACCTCGAGAATATATTACTTTATTTACTCTAGGGTAGAAAACTCTGGAATATCTTGCATCATTTTCTTAAAATCGGTAAGTTAGCAATTATCCAAGTTTTATTGTCAACGGGTTCAGGGGCATTCTGAGCTGAGTCTGCTTTAAATCATTTAACCTTAAAACGGTATCAAACTGTGAACAATCCTTTTCTCTTAACCTCATATGTCTCAACTTCGTCTGCCCTCAACTTAAATTAATTTGAATTAAGGTGCACACCATTTTCGCATTCGACAAACCAAAATGATCCCAAACTGATCCCCTCTCATCCTATGCGTATGGTATTTATATTGAAATGTGTTTGTACTGATTAGGCTAGGGAAGGTTAAAGATTAATAGTAAATTTAAGTACTTCCAACATTCAGTACGTTAAAAAAAAGTACTTATTGCAATTTCCTTGAGTTTTGGTAAAATGAGAATAGATTGGGTTTTTTTTGATCAATGATTAGATTTGAAATACCTCTTATTTTGATGATTGTAGGAAGTTCCACTCGATCTCTAGGATCTTCGTATAATTTTACCCTAGCAGAGGAGCTGACTTCACCACCTCTATTTTTCGCAATGATGGTGTAGACTCCTTCATCTGATTTTTGTACATCTTTTAATATTAGTGTATATAATCCATCAACTACCGTTGTTTGTAGTTTCGATGTTCTCTCAACTAACTGATCATTTTTTAACCATTTGCATGTGGTTTCCAGGCCTTCTACTGAACACTGCAGTTTGATTTCTGACCCGTAAGGACCTGCTCGGTCGGTTAGGTTAGTTAGAAAAATAGGAATTCGTTTTGCTAGTCGAGCTCTTCTGAATTCCTCATCTTTCTCTTTTTCCGTGAGCTCTGGAGTTATCTCTTCAGGTGGCTTGTAAAACCATGCGGTAGGATCGTCACCATCTGGATTATAAGCACGCCATAGCGAAGGGTCAACTAATTCTTCATACGATTCATCTGATGAAGATTCTGTCTCTTCTTCTTCTTCTTCTTCTTCTTCTTCGTCTTCCTCTTCGTCTTCTTCTTCTTCTTCATCTTCTTCTGAAGTTTTATCAATGGGCACATCTTCTAATAGGGAATTTTCGTTTATGGTATGTTTTTGATCAATTACTTCAATTACACTTTCGACTTTGCTTTCTTCTATTACAGCTTCATTGGTATTTTGTGTTTCAGTACTTTCTGTTGAATGCTGATCTTCGGTAGCGCTTATCAAATATATTTTGTTCTCCTCTTCTTTCGCCACTTCTGGTTGCTGTGCTTCCTCTAGAACCTCATCTAAAATTAATGGCGTGATCACAACTTCAGGTTTTTCATCTTCTTCTTCAACCACAACTATTTCAATAGTCTGCTGAGTAGAAATATCTTCACAAACAGCTGCATCTATTACACATCCTGGTGAGAAAAATAATGACACATACTCGTCAACCTTTGTTATTCCTCCAGATACATCCATAATGAGGGCTTTATCAATAATAGCTTTAGATGATGCCAATTGAACGTCACGGTTTTCTCCAATTTCAAATGGTGACTTTTCTCGAACAAACATCATTTCTTTTCTCAAGGGATCCCCTGCTTTTAAACGTGAAATTGATACCGATCGAGAGCTGCGTTCACGCGATGGTTCCCTAGATATAATCTCATGTTCTCCAACGTTGGAATCTGGTTGTTCGGTAATTACTACTTCAGGCACAACTGACGGTGTCCGATCGTTTCTTTTACTATTTTGCACCATGTTGCTGACGAAAATGTTAGTGATACGGTTTAGATGCAAGTTACGACTGGCATTGGCCGTGAAGAAACCCGCGATTTATAATGTGTGGTAGACTCTGCCAATGAATGAATAGCTGGCTATTTATAAGCAATTTCAAAATAGATTCGGATGAGATCGGTCGGTATATTTACATATAGAACAAAACAAATGGATAATGCCATTGTCATGTTGTGTTACTTCCAGTGATAACCATTGATATTAATTCCATGATTTGTAACAAAAACAAATTGCAACGGCTCACTCAATACCCTGTAAACTTCGAAAAAATCATATAAATTTAGGTGCAGGTGACATAAACGAGCGACATTTGACATCAAATTGAGTCATAACAGACATGCAATTCAGCTCAATCAATGGTACTCTTCGTGGAGTAACGAACATTTCAGTTTCGGAGTAATAAAATTTACCTGACATGTTTATTTTCGTCTCATTCCATATGTCAAAGATGGATTCTATCACGTGTAAAGCTAGTTATTTCTAAGTGTGTAAATGACTGTTGCAAGTAAACTTCAGTTAGATTTGAATCCAAAAAATAAAGCCGTTTACATGTGACTGTAAAATAAACCAGCTTCCTACAATTGGAAGACTGTTTAAAAAACTATTTCTGACAGAAACAAGTGGGACTACTTAACAGATAGTTCAATTTGTTTCAATTATGTTCGTTGGTTAATTTGATTACATCAGCATTAAATTTACAAAAACAAAATCAAATGTCCGTAATTCTTCGAACAACGAGAGCGAGGAGTACTCAGATCGTTGGATTCTCAAGTTCGCGCGAAAAGTATGTCCTGATTCCGTGCTGGCACGGATGATTCCTCGTGAAACGACGAATTCGGTAGACGAGATCAGTCAGCCTTTTTCAATGCTGGAGCTCTCACTCGCGCTCCTTTCATGTGGCAATTCGGCTCCGGGGGCTGATAGAATCAAGTTCAATTTGTTGAAGAACCTCCCAGACGTCGCTAAGAGGTGCATGTTGAACTTGTTTTGTCAGTTCCTAGAGCTCAATATTGTTCCGGATGATTGGAGGCAAGTGAGGGTGATAGCCATTAAAAAGCCTGGAAAACCCGCGTCAGATCATAACTCGTATCGTCCCATCGCGATGTTATCGTGCATTCGAAAATTGTTGTAGAAAATGATCCTTGTTCGCTTGGACAAATGGGTTGAGACGAACCACATACTCTCAGATACTCAATTTGGTTTCTGTAGGGGCAAGGGAACGAACGACTGTCTCGCGTTGCTTTCCACAGAAATTCAGTTGGCTTTTGCTAAAAAAGAGCAAATGGCTTCTGTGTTCTTGGATATTAAGGGGGCTTTTGATTCAGTATCGGTTGAAGTCCTTTCAGACAAACTCCACGCATGTGGCCTTTCTCCACTAATTAATAACTTTTTGTACAATTTGCTGTCACAGAAACATATGAGCTTTTCTCATGGAAACTCTACAGCTTCTCGATTTAGTTACATGGGTCTCCCCCAGGGCTCATGTTTAAGCCCCCTTTTGTATAATTTCTACGTCAGAGAAATTGACAATTGTCTAAGTGACAACTGCACGCTGAGACAACTTGCAGATGACGGAGTAGTGTCTATGACAGGGCCCAGAGAGGCCGACCTGCAAGAACCCTTACAGGATACCTTAGACAATTTGTCTACTTGGGCTATTCAGCTAGGTATCGAATTCTCCACGGAGAAAACTGAGTTGGTCGTTTTTTCTAGGAAGCATAGCCCAGCACAACCGAAGCTTCAACTTTTGGGTAGGCCGATCACTCATTCCATGTCTTTCAAATATCTTGGGGTCTGGTTCGATTACAAATGCACCTGGAGATCCCACATTGAGTATCTGAGACGAAAATGCCAACAAAGGATCAATTTTCTTCGAACAATTACCGGAACGTGGTGGGGAGCCCATCCGCAAGATCTTCTAACGTTGTACAGGACAACGATTTTATCGGTTTTAGAGTACGGTAGTTTTTGCTTCCAGTCGGCGGCTAAAACGCACATCATGAAACTGGAACGGATCCAGTATCGCTGTCTTCGTATCGCGTTAGGATGCATGCACTCGACTCATACGATGAGTCTCGAAGTGTTAGCGGGCATGTTGCCACTCTCTGATCGGTTTTCGGAATTATCCCTCAGGCTCCTCACCCGTTGTGAAATTATGAACCCACTGGTGATTGCAAACTTTGAGAAGCTTCTTGAGCTAAACCCTCAAACTCGTTTTATGTCATTATACTACGTGTACATAACACAGGATGTCAGCCCTTCACAGCATAATCCTCATCGTGTATGCTTCTCCGACTTCGGCAATTCAGTTAGTTTTGATTTATCTATGACGCGGGAGATTCGTGGGATCCCAGAACATCATCGTTCCATGATTGTTCCGTCAATTTACGCTGCAAAGTCGTATATGTTGCTGAGCTGGCGGCAATACATTATACGCTTGAAACGATCGCCTCACTTGCACCAGATCATTGTTTTATTTTTACGGATAGTCTCAGTTCTGTCGAGGCTATTCGCTCTATGAGGCCGGTAAAGCTCTTCTCGTATTTTCTCATGAAAATACGAGAGCTTTTAAGTGCTTTATCTTTAAGATCTTTTGTCATCACCTTTGAATGGGTCCCATCTTATTGCTCGATTCCGGGCAATGAGATGGCTGACTCACTTGCTAAGGTGGGCGCTATGGAAGGCGATATTTACGATCGACAAATCGCCTACGATGAATGTTTCTTCATTTATCGTCAACAGTCACTCGTCAGCTGGCAGAATAAGTGGAGGGAAGGGAGTTTGGGACGATGGCTATATTCGATCATCCCTAAGGTGTCGAAGAGTTCTTGGTTCAAGGGGTTGGATGTGGGTCGAGACTTCATTCGTATGATGTCTCGCCTCATGTCCAATCACTACTCGTTAAACGCTCACTTGTTCCGTGTTGGGCTGGGGGACAGCAATCTCTGTGAATGTGGACAAGGTTACCAGGACGCAGATCACATTATTTGGTCTTGTGCTGAGCATCGCGGAGTGAGATCTGAACTGTACGACTCCCTTCGGGCTCGAGGTAGACAACCTAATGTTCCAGTTCGGGATATTTTGGCTAGACGCGATCTGGAGTTTATGAAACTCATATATGTTTACTTTAAGAATATTAACATTAGATTGTAAGTTTTATTAACCTTGTGTTTAGTTTGTATTTTGTACGTGTGGGTTTTTTTTATGTTTGTTTTCAAGATGAATAGAAATTAGTTCATGTTTAAGGATTAATTAAATATTTGTATCGTAAACCACATTTCAAACCTCCCTCTCCCTTTTCCCATAAAAAAAAATGTAAATCTCCACTAACTGCGAGTATCCGGTCCAGCTCCTTTAACTTTAAATATAAGACATCAATAATGTATAACGAAAATGATAACTCGGCTCTGTAAAGTTTATTCGATTGAGCCTGTACAAATAAAGTAATTAATAAATAATAAAAAATGTCCGTAATCAATGTAAAATTCGTCTAAGTTCTTTCCTACACGCAAAAAAATTTCTATTACATCCTTTGTTGGATTTATTACATCCTTTGCATATGTTTCATTCAACAAATGGCAGTTCTTGTAATGGACTACAACATACAAGCATATTTTTGAACAAAACCTTCAAGAGATCGTTTTCTAGACACAATTCATTTGTGGAAACTAACTTTGTTTGAAAAACAAGCTATCATAAAAAATACAAAATTAATTTTAAAAACTTCCATCGACCACATTACAGAATCTGTTCCTGTCGTGAAACATTGCAAATTCTGCATACTGTTCAAATCTGTAATAGAAGCTTAAATTTCCCAATTGGGTGTATCTTCAAAATATCAGAGGCTACTTTACAAAAGAATACCAACAAGCGAAAACATCCTACAAACATAGTTAGGATTTGTTTAACTTCATATTTCACAAAGTTGCTTTTAAGTGTTATGACGTCGTCACCATCGTCTCTTGCAATTTTTACATTTTTCTTGGTAAAGGGCTAGATCTCCACAACTTGTATATGCCAGTCCACCGAGACGGATGATTCCTTTTTCATCGAGGAAGGGACGCAGCATTCTCAGAGATGATTTCCTGGATACAGATCGATTTCGAGCTAACTCTTTGTACTCCTCAGCGAACATTTTCTGCTGCGCAATCTTCGTGATGACTTCCTTAGCATGTTCCAGCTCTGTTACTGAAGCGAACCGGTGCGGATGATTATTGGGATTTCCTCGGCAACGATTTTTGAAACGAAGAAGTAAAGCTGCAATCCGTAGTAGCCGCCAAAAAGATGAATATCGATGGAACAAGAAATGATGGTTCAACGTTTTCTGTCCTACAAGAACTGTTTTCCGGCGTTCCAGCAAATCCTCAGATGGAGTATCGTTAAGATGTTTAGGCCAGCTTTCTTCTCCTAATAACAGCCATGGGGATCCACACCGCCAAATGATGTTGGTGACGAATTCTTTGTGAAGCATTCCTCGTGAGACGTGGTCCGCCGGATTGTTGATTCCGTTTACGTGATTCCAGCTGTGGACGTGAGTTAACAACTGGATCTCCGATGTACGATTTCCAATGTAGGTCTGCCATGTATTGGGTGGGGCTTGTATCCAGTGCAGAGTTACCGTAGAGTCGGACCAGAAACTGCTAGGAATCCCTTCCATCCCCAGCGCTGCTGACACCCGGGCATACAGCTTCGCCCCCAAAAGTGTAGCACAAAGCTCTAACCGTGGAAGACTAATCCGCTTGAGTGGTGCAACCCGTGATTTTGCCGCGATGAGTTCGACGTTGATATGCCCTTCCTTACTAGTGGATCGTGCGTAGATGCATGCACCATATCCAGCTTCTGAAGCATCAGTAAAGATGTGGAATTGCACTGTCGATGAAACTGGTAAGAAAGGGTACCGGGAAACCTTGTAACCACCGAGAAGTAGTAGCTGCTCTGGAAATTCCTTCCATTTGACCATGATGTCTTCAGATACTTGATCGTCCCATCCTGCATTCACTATCCAAAGTTACTGCATCCGAATCTTGGCCCATGCTACGACCGGAGACATCAATCCAAGTGGGTCATAGAGCTTTGCAATCGCCGAAAAGATCTTCCGCTTTGTCCAACAACCGTCGTTGATAGGTGGCTGAACTTTGATGCAAAACTGGTCTGGTTC